GATTCAACCACTGGGCCATGTGTACTTGAGGTTCAATACCTGCACAAAAACTTGGAGAGTTGAGTGAAAGAGAGATATCTGATACTGAGACATCCGGAAGAGGCATGGCACATGGAACAAGAACAGTCTACCCCGGTGAATGAAGTAAAGGGTTCGGTTCAAAATTCCAATCACCTGAAGAAGGCCAAAGTTACAATGGCCGAAATGTCATGAATATGTCAACAAAGATGAGGATAACAGTCCAAACAATGTAAATAGTGTAAAAAAAATTGTTGTTTTTATTTTATGTGTATTGTTCAACCCTTGCCCACTTTCCTAAAACAGTGACCAAACATCAGAATACTGATTTTAGGAAAAGATTAGACCAAGACTATTTTCTGCATTCAACACAATCACTTGAGAAGACACCAGAAGTGTTGAAACAAAATGGGTATTTTTGTAGTGATTTTAATTTCTGAATAAATAATATTTACTCTACTCTTTATTGAGTACTCTTTTAAGAATAGTGTTTTTGATTATTGGAATTTTATTCCATTCACACCAATCCTATACTTGTGTGTGTGTGTGTGTAACAAAGTGGAAAAAGTTCTTGTGATGTGTTTTGTTCTTTAGGACTTCATTGGACTTAATTAGTTATGTTCATGCGACTACACAAGTGCATAAATAAATTTTGTTTTTTCTTTTTTTAATATAGCCAATTTCCTTTAGATTCTTTTTCCTTTTATTTCTATCACTTTTGTCAGTAGGTATCCCACATTGTAATAATAGAAGTTCTGCCAGGAATAGTGAAATGTTGTAAGAGCCAGGGCACAAATTTACTGTAGATGACCTTGTGATCAATGCACTTCCTAGACCTTTTTATTTTTCTTCTTTGATTAGAGTAGCATTTTTTATGTCAAAATTGTCAGTCTCGTTACAGTGGGCACCAACTCATTTGATGTATTGTTTGTAAAATGTCTCTTTTTGTGTTCATATAATCTTTTATGTAGGTTGCTTTCTCCTGTGACAATTATTACAGGTGATTGAGTAAATTCCTCCTACAAGTTTTAAGTGTTTTGTTTAGTATTAACTTAGTGCATTATTGTTGTAGATGTAGTAGTAACAAATTTTTATGTTGAGTTTAGATAGATTCTTTCCAATAGTTGATGTGATAGAGTTAACTGGTAGAACAATATATTTTTTTGATTCATTGGGCCTCTAAGGAGGGACTGTTTTTTTCTATTTTGGAATATTTTATGAGCCTTTTATTTCATATTGAATATAATATAATTAGGGTACTGAAGAAGCTTTTTTTCCTCCTAATATCATTCCTGATATATAAAAAATGTATGTTGTTATCTCGTATATGTATATATATATATATATATATATATATATATATATATATATATATATATATATATATATATGTGTGAAAAGTGTGTATATAAATATATATATATATTATATAAAGGAACTTATTAGAAAGCACTCAATATCAGAGATAGAGCTAACATATTTGGTTGAATTGATATGAGTTTTGACCTAGGTTTCACGCTTTTTGTGATCATCAGACAAATAAGTTTGACGATCACAAAAAGCGTGAAACCCAGGGTTACAAACTCACATCATCCAAATATATATATATATATATATATATATATATATATATATATATATATATATATATATATATATATATATAATGGTTTATTGAAAACTTCTCAGCCTTGACCTACTTCCCAAAATCTGTATTTCAAAGACCATCAGAATACTAATTGTTGAGCCATGAACTTTTCAGCATCCTTTGTGACTTTTTTTAGTTATTTTTTTTTTTTTATTATTTATTTTTTTTTTCTTTCTTTGGACTTGATTGTTCAAAATTCTTGCTAATCAAAACCATGTCTGCATCCACACTTTTCTGGATGAGTGAATGGGGAATTCATTTCTCCCCCACTCTTTGCTAAATACCATTGCTCCTATCATACGACATGTCTTTCACTTCAAACATGCACTTAACCCACCTGGATTCGCATTGATATAAATCTTTCCTGGATACGACTGTATAAAACAGTTTGAAACCAGAGCATATGATTTGAGTTCTGAAATACTATTCAACTTCTGAACATATTTGCAAATCAAAATTTGTTTATTATCTTACTGTCTACCCAGCTGTAACCTAGTATAAGAAAAAAAATAATTCTTAAAATAAATTTATTACTGTCATTAAGTTGAGATCTTTTCTTTAATATCAAGTTTTCCATGTCAAAAAAAAAAAAAGTTAAAATTTGAATAAAATGTTTTGTCATGTGGACTGCATGAACTTGCCCCCATTGGTTTTGCAATAGAAAGAAAGAGTAAATTTTGCCACCCATCCCTACAGCAAGTACAAAATAAAAAAATAAAAAAAATAAAGGCAGTAATGTTTGTCCCATGTATTCAGTTTAAACTTTGAATCATGGGTGTTGAATAAAAAAAATTCTCTCCTTTGTATAACAAAAGCTGTTTTAGTATTACACTCCAGTGTCACTAGCAATGCAGAATAAACTGCAGTAGATATATAAATTCAGTCTGTACAGTGAAACATTTAAATGTATAAGTGTCACAAAAAACACATGACTGCAGCTTTTGTTAAATACACACACACACTAGAAAAGAAACAGATATACATTAGCAGATTTGTGGGTGTATTTAGATAGGTAGGTGTATATATGATTTTTGTGTGTATGTGTGTGAGTCCCCCACCCAATCTACAGAACTTTCAAAGTCCATGTCAAGATTTATATAAAACACTTGTATGTACTAAATCTAATCCACAGTTATATACAGATACTTATGAAGAAAAATATATACTGAAAAAACAAACAAAAATCCTTATATGCAATTATGCTGTTTTAATGTTAATATGTCAATGTCAGACGTTTCGGTCTAATAAACCATCTTCAGGACATATTCATAAAATATAATTAACATTATCAATTCAACATGACAAAGACGATATACATAAGAACAAGACTTACCCAAACAGATAACTGAAAGTTTTATAAGATCAGTGCTCCGTTTAAACATGGTCACATTGTCGTCACGTGGGCGACACTGTGAAAACGTATTCCTAAAATAAATAAAATAAAATAAAAGATACTTATGTATGTATGCATGTATGTAAGCAAATATTACCTACTAGAACTATCCACAGTTTATTAAATAACACCAACAACCAACATATTACATCCGATGCTTGCATCTACCAAATCTCAAGCAACAACTGTGACTTAAAATATGTGGGTGAAACATGTATGTCCGTAAAATCTCATGTTTTCGAACATAAATGAGATATTCGCCTCGGTAATTTAAACAATGCTTTATTTGTACACATAACTAAATCTGATCATAATTTCGATTTTGATTCTGTGAAGATTTTAAAATATATTCATAATAAAAATCTTAGACGGATTTATGAGGCAGGCATAATATCTATCTCACGCACAGTGAATACTAGACCCGGCTTCTTTAATATTTCCCCTTTTCTGGCAAGATTAATGCTGGACAAACATACATATAAATTTTAGATTAAAATAAAATTCTTTTTCATTTAAAATATACTCTATTTTATGAATATGTTTTCACAACACCGCCCACATGACGCTGACGTGATCATATTGCGAAACGGAACGCTGATCTTAAAAATTTCAGTTATTCTGTTTTGATTAGTCTTATGTCTATCGTCTTTTCATGTTGACTTGAATATCATCTAATTTTAATTATGTTTTAATAACTATGTCCTGAAGAAGGTCTACTAGACCGAAACGTCTGACATCGACATTGAAACATTAAAACAGCATACTTTGCATATTTGGATTTTGTTTTTCCATATTTTTTCTTCATATATATATATATATATATATATATATATATATATATATATATATATATATAGGTAACTATACTTGTCTCGAAAAACCTTCAAATTTTTGATTTGCAAATAATCAAATGAATTAAAAAAAACAAAAACAGACATTTATAATTAGAATCAGAAAGAGATAGTTGAAATTTCTAAGACACATAATAAGGAAAGAAGGCTTGGAGGATTTGATACTCACAGAATATATTGATGGCAAAAGAAGCAGAGTGAAAGAGCGTGTAACATAACTATTTGCCTATCATCCAATTCACATTACTCCCCATTCTTTTGAACAGGAGTAGAGGTTTATTCCTTGTTTCCTGTTCAAGATTGGGATTCCAGTTCTTCTAAAGTCTGCTTCATTTCTGTACTCCTAGCACTTGTTCTTTCCTACACTAATATGTCCACATAGTAACCCTCTAACTTGAGTGGCTCTTGAGCCTTGTATTGGGTGAATATTAGTTTAAAAACAAAAAAAAAACCTAATGAGCTTGTGTAAATGTATGGCAGAGCTAGGATGGTTAAGGGACAAATGTTGCTTAGAGCTATAATGGATAGGAAGTTATGGAGAGCTATGATTATTGATGTCCAGAAGGAACATGGCATATAAAAGAAGGTTGACATATGTGTGTACACAGTTTTGTAATAGTAAAGACTGGTGTTGGCAGAGGGGGAGTCATAGGGCTTATCTCCTTAATGGCATTGTGTGTTTCTTTTCCCTTTTCATTTTGGGAATAGCTCCTGGAATGTAGATGTGTGAAAGTCTATCTTTTATTTAGCTCACTTTCCTGACCGTCCTTCCTCCGCAGAACTGACTTCTTTTATTTTTTCTTTCAACACAGTCCTACAAAACATTGTAAGCAGCTGTCCACTCTTTTCTTTTGAAAACGTCTTCTTTTTCCCTTTTCTTCATCTGTTTGTTTCTTCTTTCAGAAGAAAACAATTTCTCGGAATGTCTTTGTATGAGCCTCTTTCCTTTCCATTTCTCTGCTGCCTTATTCTTTAATTTCTCATCATTTTCCACAACTTCCAAATTTGACTAGCTTCCTTTTCATCCTCCTGCTTCTTACTCTACCACTTACTACTAATTAACCCTGCCGCCTGGAACAGTACCTGCATAATGAGGGGCACAGTCAGCTTTTCTCAATTTTCCCTCTCCTCTCACCTTCCTCCCCAATGTTCTTCCCTCCTCACTCACTTCAGTCTGTACATGTTCAGCTTTACTCTACCCAAGCCAAAGCTTCTGCCCATAATTTTTCTTTCAGCTTTTTGTCTGTCTGTAAATACTGTCAGGGGGTGCAGAAAAGTTCTTCATCTAATCCAAAAGTCCTTACCACCCACTCAACCAAAATCTGATTGTAGGTCAGATTTTGATAAGTGGATTGGGTTGAGAATTTTTCAACACCTGGCTGTGTGTGTGTGTGTGTGTGTGTGTGTGTGTGTGTGCACACCACAGAGTACGATGGATAAATTGTCATCTAAATTATGCAAACATGAAAATAACACTGACATCTCATTTTAACACATATATTTACCAAAATTACACAAAAATATCTTGAAATACTAAAGAGTAAATTTATTCAATAAAATCACCATTGGTTTCAGCCACAGCTTCCAGACAACTTTGGAATCTCCTGCAACTCTTCTGGATGGTCTCCTTGTTTAAGTTGATGAATGCTGGCATAATCCTTACCTTCAGTTGATTTTACAAGGAGTTTTGTTGGTCTCTCCCTCAACTGCACCATACACATAATAATCAAAGGGGTTGCATTCTGGGGAGTGAGGTGGCAAGAGGTACATGGTGATGTGGCCGCAAAAATTGTCTGACAGCCTTGACTGTGTTCTCCTGCCTGTGTGGCATGGTACAGAGTCCTGTTGCCAGATATAGGTTCTTCCAGCAGCCACCCTCTTTTCATCATCGGCAGCACTATCTTCTCAAGGCACTTGATGTAGGCCCCTCCATGTTGAGTCTGAGACCCTTAACAATAAATTTGGGATTTCTTTACTTATCAGAATAATCAGTGAGTTTTTTGAGCTGCCATACTTGCATAATCACCATTAGACTCATCCATCTGTTTCCAAATTGTCTACACTGTCCTCAAATGGACACCTAAACACTTTGAAATGTTCGTATTGAAGCTTCCAGTGTGAATGCCAACCAGTATAACAAACCATTTCAAAATTTCTGGTAGTGAATTGCATCATGGCACTCTTTATCTCACAGACAGTGCCCATCTGAGCCTACTATACTGTGCCATTGATAAAATCAAAAGCAAACAATGCACATATGCAAAATTAAAAATATATACTGGCGACAATTTAGCCATCGCACTCAGTGCTCGCGTGCGTGTGTGTGTGAACATAAGAAATGTGGACACTGAAATCAACACCGAGTGACGAAAGTCTGTTTCGTCATGCTTCTGAAGTCAACACTAAGTGCTTCACTTCTTATATTTACATATGCTGTATCCTTGATATTGGACACTTTTACCTCATAACTATACCATGTCTTAAAACTTTTTTTTTTTTCATTACGTGTGTGTGATAAAAATATAGTTTTAAGGTATGTTATATTTATGAGTTAAAGTGGTCGATATCAGGGATAGATTGTATGCAAATATAAAAGTAGACATTATGGTCAAAACCTTGTGGCGGCAGTCAGCTTTATGCTTAAATGTAATCGTCAGAATGTTTGCTATTTTACACACACACACACAATTTTTTTCCCTTACCAGTAGCACAACTCAACATGAGTTAAGTCTTAACTCAGCACCTGAAGATAGCGTTGTGCACAAAACTCAGTTATGCTACTAGTGAGGGGAAAATATATATATATATATATATATATATATATATATATATATATATATATATATATATGTGTGTGTGTGTGTGGGATGTCTGATGTCTGTTTCAAATAAAAAAGTGGTGTCCATTCTAATAACACTTTAAGTAATAAAAATGTCAAATTAAATCTAAATCTATTAATTCTTTTGAAATATTATATATGTATGTGTGTGCAAAATTGGCATAATTAGTTTTCTCCATTTCATCTTTTGAAGTAATGACCTCTAACATTCTCACAAAAGGTGACATTGATTTGTGCTTGCATCAAATTCCGAAATGTTTTTAGCAGCATTATGTGTGCGAAAAATGTATTTTGTGATGCAGTTGTATAGTTCATTGATGCTATATAGGACCATCCTCTTTCCTCACAACAATAACTTTAAAAACAATATAAACATATATTGAATATAACATATAATACTGAAATATATTTATATATATATATATATATATATATATATATATAAAAATGAACATTGAAGTCAACACTCAGAGGTGACAGGCTGTTTTATGCTAGATGTAATCATCAGGCAGCCTGATGATTGCATCTAGCATGAAACAGCCTGTCACCTCTGACTACCAACTTCAATGTTCACTTTTATATTTTATATTTACATACGCTCTATCTCTGATATTGAGCACTTTATGCCATAAATATAGCACATTTTAAAACTGTTTCTGTGTGTGTGTGTGTGTGTGTGTGTGTATATATATAGTATATAATTGAGATATATATATATATATATATATATATATATATATATATATTATAGTATATGATTGATATATATATATATATATATATATAGTATATGATTGATATATATATATATATATATATATATATGATTGATATATATATATATATATATTATAGTATATGATTGATATATATATCTATATATATATATATATTATAGTATATGATTGATATATATATCTATATATATATATATATTATAGTATATGATTGATATATATATATATATATATATATATATTATAGTATATGATATATATATATATATTATAGTATATGATTGATATATATATTTTAGTATATGATTGATATATATATATATATATATATTTATATATATATATATATATTATAGTATATAATTGATAGTATGAATATATTGAATATGACAATATAAACATATAAAAAAATAGCTTTAAATGGTCTTGTGTACAAAGCTGAGGTATCTGATAGGTTGATGTTTATCAAACCAACACAGATTTCAGTAATGTTATGCAATCTTAAAAGTCCTTCCGGTTTTGTCAGTGTTTAGTATTGAGGGCACAGCCATAACCTTATAAAATAAGCAGATGTCACCATATTTTTGGCAAATGCTGAAAGTAAACTGCAGATAGATATAGACAAGTTATGCTAAAATTTAAACAGTCTATCAATCTATTTCTCTGTATATCTGTTTCTATTTATTTCTTTTCATTTCTATCTATTTCCATTTCTGTCTATCAATCTATCTCGGTTCATATCTATCAATCTTGGTTCACATCCGCCAATCCAATCTAGGCTCACATCCGCCAATCCAATCTCGGCTCACATCCGCCAATCCAATCTAGGCTCACATCTGCCGACCCATCTACCCCGGTTCACGTCCGTTGGCTCATCTACCTTGGTTCACATCTGCCGATCCATCTATTTTGGTTCACATCTATCTCATCTACCTACCTTTTCTGGTTCATATCTACATGTTTATCTAAATATAGAACTACTCCAGTTCATATCTATCTATCTATATATTTCCGTTCATATCTATCTCCATTTATATCTATCTATTTCCATTCATATCTATCAACCTATCTATTTCCGTTCATATCGATCTATCTATCTATTTCCGTTCATATCTATCTATCTATCTCTCTATCTATCTATCTCTCTATCTATTTCTGTTCATATCTATCTAGGTTTATTTCTATGTATATATTTATATATACACAACACAACTATATAAATATACACATATAAAACTTGTATATCGATAATACACACACAAAGTATACAATACATGTCTTTGTGATTATCTCCTACAAAATCTTTGAATGAAAAATGAATCTTCTTCATTTCTGATTTGCCTATTTTCTGGTTTCCATCATCCTTCTTTACACATCTCAGACATTCTACACTTTTGTTTCTGCCACTTGATTTAAAAGTAACCAGACCCAGAAAAACAATCCATCTAATTTCTCTCTGTACTTCTGGTTCCCCTGTGTCATTTTGAACCTAATAGGCAATGTCTCTTGTCCAAAATAAGCTACCCTTTTTCCCCATATGCACACAGTGTTAGTTTTTTATATAATGTATTTTGTCAATTGGTCGGTAATCATTCTCTGATTTAGACAGAACAAAGATGCCTTGAATCTTTATTCATGTAAATGAACTGAGCAGTCTGCCTCCCCCATACTGTATTTAACATATAAGATCCCTTATTTGCATACAGTATTGTGGTGTTAGCCTAAATATAGGTACCTCCACTTATTTGTGATACCTAAGGCTTAAAAAGAATTTTTAAAAGTGAAGAAGCTTTATTGAAATTTCATTTTAGTGTTAATTAAAAGCTAAAGGATTAAATTTACTATTTCTCGTAAGGAAAATACACTGGTGTATTTCAAACAGAAATTATATTGATTAGAATCCTTTTTTTTTTTTTTCTAAAATTAACTGATTAAGGCCCTTTTGTAGTCATCTTTTATCGCAATGTAATGCTCTTTATTAGGAAATCTTCCAAAAGTAAAATATAATATTAGCTGATTTAAAGTATAATTAACCTGATTTGAAACAAATATTATTTACTAATTCTAAATTTTTATAAAGAGTCCTGCTTTTAATTAATATAAATATCAAGAGGCTGAAATTTTAATTTCATAAAATTAAGTAATAGATGTTAAAAAAAAAAAATATTTTCACCAAGATTTTCAAAAAAAATTTTAAAAATAATTTCATTCATTTGTGAATAGGTCTTGAAAGTTTTATTAAAATCTAACAATTATTTGATTTTTGTAAGAATTTCCAAATCAATGTGTTTTTTACCAGAAAAAAGGCAATAAAACATCCATTGTAATGTTTGGATGAGTGATGATGCAAAAAAAAAAAAAAAATGATTTTTAACTAAAATTTCAGACGTGCTAGAAAGAATTAAAAATTTTATAAAATAATAAAAAAAAATACTTTGGCCTTACCTTTTAATAATAACATGAACAGTTTGATGACAAAACTTTGGTTTTATCTAGTTTGGGATTTGTTTTCATCATGGTAGGCTGTTTTTAGCAAGAAAGTAGAGGTATCAACCTAAATACAAGTAATGATTGCATACACTAAAATTAGTCTATCAGATATCTCAAGTTTGCATATAGGACTTGGAAGATAGTCTTCTTTTTTTAGGGGGAGAAGAATCTAATTTGCCATCAAATATGGTTGGTATTCTTGTAAGACACGTGGCATTTAGAGTGGTGTGTACACTTAAAAAAAAAAGTCTGAGAGAAATTTTGTATTTACTACAGATGTTAGGAATGACCCTTCTCTTTAAGTGCAATGAAGAGGTACTGTCAGTAGAAAAAAATTCTCCCTGTGCTTGTTTGATTCTGACGTCTTCTCCAATTTGTAGTTTGTGTTTTGGGCTCTCCCTCTTGCTAGCAACACTATTTACCCTAATGTCTAGTTTCCTCTGTCTTCAAAGTAGTCTCTTTGGCACTGGCAGAAAGTTGTACTTTTCACACGCACTGTTGAGAAATCACCAAACTGTTATGTAGCACCTCTTAGTTTGTTTTTTTTTTTAAATAGAAAGATGTTTTGAAGTCTTCAAGAAAAGAACCTTTTCACTTCTGGTCATAATTCTTAAACATTTTGATCCTCATCAGAAATCTATCTGAGTCTTTGTTAACTTTTATCAGATGTTTCTTATTAAAATATTGTTTTGACATTTTTATCTTGCTCTCTTCCTTCCTCAGGTTCCATATATGATGTATGTTTTTGAATGATCATGTGTCTTTTTCAATTCATGACTGATTTGGCAGAAGAAGGCTGCTGTTACTTCTTGCAATAGACTGGTTGCCAACCAAGGCTGTAGAACCCAGTCTCTGCTGATATTTAACACATAGTTGGGGACAGGTATTCATACATTCCCCAAGTAAGTAAATGTAAAAAAATGACTGGATTTGGCTCTCAAATTTGATTTCTTATTCAGAGCCATCCATGCTTACAGCACCTGGTGTTCTCAATTAGGTCACCTATCTAGGTAGTGATTTCATTCTTAATGAAGTTATTTTGAATTTGAAAACAGCTGGGTCGAAAGTGCTATACTTATTGAATATCTCATTCATATGAAAGAATGCTTTAAAAATATATGCAAAAAACATATTGAAAAGGTTTAAGATGAAATAATTAAATCCCAGTAGATTTACCATTCCCAAAAGTAGGAGTATTTGGAATAATTAATAGTAGATTTGTAATCACAGAGCTATCTCCTATCACATCCACTGTCAAAAGTATGGTTCTGAAAGGTTATGGCAGCACCAAACAAACAAAATGCGGACTAAGCAAAATTTATCTTGAAGAAATGGTAAGTGAACAAAAAAGTAGAGGCCACCAACCTAAACACTGACATGATAATGTGCATAAATAGACAAACCTTGACTTAAAATCATTGAACAGAGCCACCCAAAATTGCCAATTGTTTATACAAATATCTCTTGTTAGTGCACAATCTATTACAGGTGGAGAAAGCAGTCAATGATGTAGTAGGTTAATGGTAATATTAACTGTTTCCTTATAAGGAAACATTTGACATTAGTAAAAGAAGTAGCAGCATCTGAGGAGATTTGATTTTTACTGAAAATTCTTCAATTCTATCAAGAGTTTAAATGTGTATCAAAAATATTTTTGTTTTTCAATCACAGGAAAAATCTCAAGAACTGTCTTTTTTTTTTTTTTTTTTAGCTTATGTAATGTATATTCAATATATTGAATTATTGCTTAAACTCAACGTTGATTCTGATTCCACAGAACTGGGTTGGGTGTGAAAAATATTTGTTGTTAACATTCTTTTTTCATTCGGTTTTTCCAGTTACGAGTCCTTTTTTAAAGCTGATCATTTTATGTTCATTTTGTTTAGTTCTTTTTTCGTAACAGATTTAATGTTTAGTATAGAGCTTAGAAAAAATTTGCAGTATGAGATAGACAAGAAGTAAGGCATGTAGCAACATCAGCACGGCAAAGGGCACTCCTTTAAAGGCAAGGAAGGGCAAAAATATTTTAAGTTAAGTGATAGCGATTCCTGTATGAGTCGTACAATTTTTGAATCAAGCACGGGCAACGCCGGGTCATGCTGCTAGTTTTATTATAAAAGTGTAATGATTTTTGTTTGGGAGTTCACTATTTGCCCATAGCTGGGGCCCTAACAGATGCTACTACCCAGGCTCAGGGTGGACCTGGGAGCAATAGCAATTAAGAAGTGGTTCCAGGCTCCTCAAAACATCCAATCTCCCAATTAGACTACTTGCTGATAGTAGAGGCTAGAAGTAGTACACTAAAACCACTAAACACTTGTTTGACCAACGAGTCAGTTGATGACCTCAGACTGGAACATATATGATTTAAAAGGATTAAAATATGATTATATATCAAAATAATAGAAACAAAAATGATTTATAGATATTTTCCAAGTGTAGCTTACATGTGACACAATGCCGAAAGTATGGGGCACCCAGTGAGAATCGAACTCACTACTCAGTCGTAATTGTTCTAGCAAGACAAGCTTGCCCTCTATCCCCTCCTTTATCTTCCCTTTCTTTCTGATATGTTCCTTCTGTATTTCATCATAATCAAAACAGAATAATGCATAATTTGTGAGGGAATTGGCAGGGTGTAACATATGTGCTAAGGAACAGACAAAATAGGATTCAACAAATTGTGGGTGGACATTATTTGCCAGGAAATAAAATATTTACTTTACTTAAAATGAAATTTTTCATTATTAAAACAAGTTTATGAAATTGTAACCTTTTGATGTTGGTCTTAAAACTGGTCTTCAAGTGCTTTATATATTTTATTTTATTTATTTATTTATTTTTTATCAGTGTCACCCCCTGCAAGGCAGTAAAGGCACTAAGACACATGGGTTTACAGGGTGTGGAGCAATTACGAACAGAAACATTGATAATGGGTGAAGAGAGAAAGCAGATAGCAATTGACATTGCATTTAAAATTTTACAGATTAAAGTTGGCTAGAAAGCATAGAGTTGGAAGGGAGTTCAACAAGCAAGAAGTGCAAGAAAAGAAACTGTTAGCATAGAATTTACGGCTACATCTAGCTAGCTCAACTGTAAATTGATGAGATCTCAACCCCAGTCTAGGACTGTGCTTAAATTCAAAAAGTCTAGGGACCATAGTAAAGAGCGATATTTGTATAAAAAATACAAAATGTGGCACAGGCCAAAATGGGGAATGGGGGTTTGTCTTTGTTGTAACCTGAGGAAGGTTACCGAATAGAATAATCACAAGAAGGTTGGTAATGAATGATAATACTTAGGACAAGAACAACACATATAACATTTGCCAGTGGTGTGTAGAAGAAGTAGTAAACTGCTAGAAGTGAGTCAAGTGAATTCCACAATGAATCTCCAACTCTAGGATATCTACCAACCTCCCCACACAGTCAGATGTGACACAAGGCCAAATTTAATGTGGGATATCCGAGCCTGTAGGCTCAGCCAAAAATTCCCAGTAGACACCATATATAACAGGGTCGGGTTGCTGTTTCCTGAGACAAGACTCTGTTCTTCGACATAGCTTCGTCTGGGGATCCTCTCTGCTCAGAGGCAGAAAGTTTGACCAGCACAGCCGGAGACGAATCTCCAACTGCAGACCAATATACAGTATTCACTACTGTATTTATGTGAATGGGGACATACCCATTATCGTCCGTAGGTATGCTACAACAGTCTTCTTCTGTCTTATAATTAAACTTATCTAGTCACAATCATTGACCCAAATATACTACAATATTCCTTACGCCAAAACAACACAGTCTTACTTAGCATTCTTATTACATCCACCATAATACTACAGAATCTCTATGAAAGTCGTAACTAGTCCCTATATGTACAATTCTTGTCTGTGGAAGGAGAGGAATATAACATTCAAAAACTAAACCCCATTGTGTACCATAGTAAAGAGCTCATCCCAAAAAATTACCATGAAAGTATAGAAAAGGCACAGAGAGGCAAATTTACAGCAGTAGGGAAGTGACTGAAACTGAGCCACCAGATCGGGACCAATAATATTGCAGATTCTTCTTTGGATCTTATCAAGGAGCTCAAGGTAAATAGCAGGGGCACCGGACCATATATGGCAGCAATATTCTAAGCAGGGTTGAATGGTAGACTTATAGCTATGCAAGATAGAATCTGAAGTACTTTTTTGTTTCTCATCATAAACCTTGGGTCATGTTAAAACAAGAAATATGTGTATATATTTAGTAAAATAACCTTTATTGTGTTTACTTGAGATTATATTTTTTAAAAGTCCAAAGAATGTCACTCAAACATTATCTTGACATTTTTGATAGATGGTGTCCTTTGTATATGCTTGTTAGAACAGTAAATACTTTCTGTAGCAGGAAACCATTTCTTCTGTAGCGCAGCCACTGGAACAACACTCACTAGAGACTCTGGTTTAGCACACACCGCAACACACCAACCTGACCTACACTGAACACAAAAGCTTACTGCTGTCCAAACAAATACTCGCCTCTATTTGTTTTTGCCAAGCCAGAAAATTAGCATCTTGTGCACACTGCCAGCCTTGGTCTGGCTCAGTGACACATGCACCATGTCATTCCAGTACTGATGGTCATATGGCTCACCTTGCTCACAATTT